TCCTTATGCCGCTCTGATTGGGCTGCGCATGCTGCTCAGTCTCGCATGCTGTCCCAATGCAATCAGGGCCCTCTTTCACCGCACTGCCATTTTCACTGCTGTGATTTCCACCAAAGCCCCCCCCCTTCGCCAGCCGCCTCGATCCTCCACCCAACTATCACAACCCCCCTCCCCCCCCTCGCCTCCCACCTCCTCATCCAGCCTCCCACCTCCTCATCCAGCCTCCCACCTCCTCCCTTTAGATTCAATGAGTGCCCATTTACAGCAAGGAGAAAAGGTCACGTTAAACTCGTTGGGTCAATTGTAAACCACCTCAAATCCGGCTGATTTCAATGAAAGAAATGAGTTGGGTGCAGCCCCCTAAGAAAGCAAAGGTCCACGTGGAAGTGGCAGAGTTTTTTCACCTTGCTGAACTAAAATCTCCCCCACATTCTTTCATTTAATAATGCTGAGTTTTTATGAGACAATATCGTAAATCAGTCAAAATCCGCATGCGTGACTCACCGCCTCCAGGTTGAAATATAAAACAAACATTATAATTAAGTCTTATATTATGACACATCTTCGATCAAATGAGAAATATTAAATCAGAAAGTTTAATCAATCCAGGCTTGGATGCCAGCAGCACTTTTCACAAGTTAGACGAGAGACAAAAACAGAGAAAAGTTAAAAGTTTGCAGAGTGTAAACGTAGCAAAAAGCTGGGATGCATTTAAGTCCAAAAGTATTCATACCCCCTCATGATTTAAGATCTGGAAGGCTGAGATATTTTTTTTGTTTTGCTTTTTCCATTAAAAAAACTAAGTGGATACAATAAATTAATCATAATATAATTTTTTTATTGCTTCTGTGCTTAAATATAATAAATCAATATTATACATAATTAGTTCACATTATTCACAGCTGGATCATAAATGTAAGGAGAATTTTCATGTCAAATAGGGTACAGTTAAAACACTTCTTGGTATTTTAAAGAATTCAAAAGGTGGCAAGAATTAAAAATACATTTTAAAATGAAAGTCAGATAAAACTTTTTCCCATGTAAATTGATTATTTATTTGTTGTAATACATTATGTAATTTTTAAATCTGTTTTTGTTTTTGCTTTTTATATTTGTCATGAACATACACCACTGCTGGAGAAACAATAATCAGTTGGAACATTAAAAATACATTTTTGGATGAAGAAATCTAAACTTTACTTCAAAAACTGCATTCAAAATTCCTGAGAGATGTGGTCTGATTTATCTGGGATTTATTCAGCTATTTCTTAAACATTTTGGGTCGTTTATTCTAAAAAAATGGAGAGAATCTAGATTCTGATATAAAAAGGATGAAAGTTGGTGTCTGCAAACATGGCATATGAGTGACAATAGAAACAGTTACTGCTCTATTTTTAAATTGTTAAAAAGTTGGACTGATGAGAGTAGTCCTTTTTGTTTCTTCCTTCACAAACAAGAATTCAAGTGATTTGAAAAGGTCTCTTGCAATTTCAGAGATTTTTCCAATCTTTGTTTTACCAGATTGTGGTAAAACTGCTAATAATCTGACATAGGTATTTTTTAAAATGCACAGCAAAGCCCAAAAATGATTTTTACCCTGGCATGTTTTTTATTTTTTATTCAACCAAGAAGTTTGATTCTGAAAATATTTACATATCAGAATTGCAAAATGCAGAAGACAAAGCAGACAGTCTTTTTTTAATGTTTTTATATCTTGATTTGTTGTGTCAAAGCAATCAAAAATTTTGAAGCAATTGCTAACCAGCTCTTTGGATGTCTCCATTGCTATTCTGAAACTCCTCTTTGGTGATAAACTCCAAATCATTGAGGCTGGAAAGCCACAGAATTACTATGAGTACCAAACAGATGGACAACTCCAAGAATTAATTCCTTTTAGATATAAAATGTTGGTAAAATTAAGACCGCCTTAAATCTAAACCTGCCAGTGGTACTACAGATTTAGTATCCTGATTAGTGAAAATGCCTCTGTGTTCAGTCAGAGGCATTTTCAGATATGCTGCAATACTGACTGCTACAGGAGATCCTTCCATCACCAACTGCAAAAACCTAAAGAAGCTTGGATAATACCACATTTCCCTTTGGTAATATATATTTAAAAAATCTGAATTGAATTAGCTGAATTATGAAGCAGGAATTGAACGTGGCTCATGTATCTTCCACGACACGACAAAATAAAAGTTCAGCTGAATATATTTATGTTATCTTTGACGCCTGCAATCAGTGGCTTGTTTTCCGCCTAAGAAGAAACAACGACGGAGCACTAATAGACCATGAACTGTATGTTCCACATTCTCGCAACGTTAGACGTAAAACAGTTAGGCGGTAAAACAAGTTTGTTCTCATGTTGATGGATGAGATGTTGTTTTTTGTCTGATCCACATCACGCAACCCGTCTGAAGAGTTAGCCAAGCAGGACTCAAAAAGTCAAAACACTAAACTGTTACACAGCACGATTCCCATCTCTTCCAACATCTACACTCGTATCAGCTCGTGGCGAATTGAAGTGAGAAAGACTTTGACTTGTCTCCGAGATAAGCCCTTGAAAACGTTAGAGACCCCCTTCGCTCTGGTGGACTTTCGTCCCTCAGAGCTGAGAACCGTGAGCTGCCGCTTGGATTTTTGTCCCGCAGCGGTCGGAGCGTCCTCCGGTGTGGACGACTCGGTGGTTGGAGGTGTTCTGCAGCGAGCTGTGCTTGAGCAATGCTATCAGATGGAGAGTATTCATCTCCACTGGGTGGAACAGGACACATTCGGATGGAGGCACGCTAACTCCTTTATCCCGGTGAGATGGTGCGATACGATCTGGGCTCATGCTGCTGCAGGTCCGTCTGTTATCCAGCCACAACAAAGCAGCTGTGGACAGAGAAAGAGAGAGAGAGAGAGAGAGAGAGAGAGAGGGAAAAAAACACTTCTGCCTGACTGTGAGTAGTGGCTGTAGGGAAAATGAAGGGGAGGTAATAATCAATCAGACGACGGGTTTGAAAAGAGTTAAATGGGTGAATAAAAGAATGAAAACCTAAACGAGAAACCCAGGGGGCTGCAGGGGTGGGGGTGGCATCCTTTTGATTTCTGTAAATCAGCTCCGATTGCAAACAATACGCTGTCTGCTGTCTCCTGATGGATTCATATGATTTGCATACAACCCCAAAGCAGGTGATCCAACTATTTTGAACTAAACGGCAAATCGCAAACAACCCCCGCCCCGCTGAGAACGTTTTTGTTGCACATTTTCACGTTATGTATTTCACCGCCAACAGGGATGGAGAAGTTCCTCCGTCTCTCAAACCATCTAACATCTAAATACTCAGAGGGACTGAGCTAATTATGACCTCAGGGTGTTTGGTGTTTAATGATGGTGATCGGGTTTTAACTACTGATTACTGACTGGGGCGATAATGAGTGGTTGTAGATCACTTAAAGTAAGCTCTTGTTAAGAGATTTTCTTTCTTTCTTTCTTTCTTTCTTTCTTTCTTTTTGCTTTCTTTTGTTGTTTTATGTTTTCATACGTTGTGGCAAATACACAGAAATTTACTTGTTAACAATGCGGTCGATGTTCTTGAAAACAGAAATACATTAAAAAAAAAATACTATTTGAAGGTACAGCCACAGTCAGGAGTATGAAATACAGTGTTTTGTCAAAATGTCTGATTCCAGTATAACCTTTTATTCACATCACCGGATTTTACAGCCACAAACTTCAATGCATTTTGTTGGGATTTTGTGGGATCGAAAAAAAAACGAAAGACAAATTGAGCTTCATTAAAAAAAAAAAAAAAAAAGCCACTAGCAAAGGTGAAGCTGCAACCATGAAAGTAGTCTTAATGAAGATGTTGGTGTGTAAGACAATTTAATCAGCTTAAACCATTTTCTTCATCCTCATTCAGATGTTTCCCCTTTTCACATCAGAAGAAATAAAGGCCTCATTTAAAGTGTGTTGTTGAAACAAATGAACTGCTGTGAGTAACTTAATGTATATGAGTCTACCAGTTATTTGATAATTAGATGTTTTCCATACGACTCACTGTGAGAATAAGCCTGTGATCATATATAACTTACTGTGAAATTCTTTGAAATAAATATAAAAGTACCTCAGAAACTTACAGCATCTTAACATTCAACGTCTAGGAATGTTATTGCATAGATGTTCAGTGCCTTCCAAAAGTATTCCTCAAACCTTTGCTCTGTTAGATCCACGGATGACATTTGACTCACAAAGTAACACGAGACTGTGCATTGGAGAGAAACAATACATAGATTTCACAACTTTCTACAAGTAAACATGGGGGGAGGGGGGGAAACATGGTGTGGATTTATATTTGGCCCCCTAAATTTTGATCTCCCGAAATAAAATCCATTGCCACTAACTATCAGTGGTTTAGAGAACAATAAGAACAACTAACATAAGGAATGCTGAGAAATACAGCAGATAGATGCTGGAGGCCATTGTGGATACGGTCTAAGCCACGTTCAGTTTATCTGAAAATGGAGAAAAAAGAATAACGCGACCATAACGCAACCGCTCGAGACATGACAAGTGAGGGATGCAGCCAAGCCAAGAGGCTCATGGTAACTCTGGAGGAGCTGTAAAGAGTCACAGCTCAGCAGGGGGAATCTTTTGATACACCCATCACTGGTGAACAGCTGGCATGTGGAAGAAGAGGATCTGCTCAGGGGAGGATAAAAAGGAATTTTTTTGATCTGCACACAAAATGTACTGGGTGGTGGGAAAACAAAGACTGAAAACACCATCCATACCGTACAAAACATGGTGGTGGCAGCATCGTGCTGTGGGCATGCTTCCTTTCAGCAGAGTTGATGGGATTGGTTCCGAGATGAAAACCTGGTCCAGAAGACTGGACTTTGGAGTCGGCTGGACTCCAAAAGGTGTCGGTGTTTTTTGCTCCTTCCACGGAAACATCAAAAACCACACAAGGAGCTTATTTCCGAAATGGAGGCGCGGCCAGGAGCAAATATGAATTATGATCCGCCCTCCACAAACTGCTCGGAGCAGACTGAGTGACAGACTGAAACACACAGGAGACCGGCAGGACAGAGAGAAAGAAGGGAGGAAGGAAAGAAACAAAGGCAAGAAAGGAAGAGAGTAAGGAACAAAGAAAGAAAGACGCAAAGAGGAAAAGAAAAAAGAAAGGGGGAAAAAAGGAATAAAGAAGAGAACGTTCCTAACTTTGGGAAGCGGGACTTTTTTTTTTTTCTTCTTTTTCTTTTTCCGTGCTGGACGCAGACATGCGCTGGAAAAGTGAAGTCAAAGTGGAATGCTGCGCCGTGAACGACAGCGAGAGCGGATCTCTGCTGTCCAACGGCGAGGTGAGCGCAGGACTTACTTCTCTCCCTCTGTTTCGCTGCGGTCGGGTGTCGCGGAATAAATATTAGTGGAAATTGCTCTGCCCAATTAATCCAGAATGAGCTCTGGTGTGTCATTATGGAGCCCGGCCTTCCACTGGAGCTGACAGCTCGGTATTTTCACAATTTGAAGAAATGTCAAAGAAAATTACCCCGCCCTTGTATTCTGCAATTAAAACTCAAGTAGTTAATGAGACGTCTTCACCTTTTGGTTGCTCCGGGTAGAACGTTTGTGGCGAACTTAAGCTCCTTTTAATTGCTGTTATTAAAAAAATCAGTCCTCCCTTTTTTTTCTGCCAGACTTCGCGCTGGTTTCCTGATTGACGCGTGAAACGCGTCTGTTGGTTGGCTTAACCTGCAGCTCTTTCTTTTTTTCTTTCTTTCTCTCTCGCTCTCTCTCTCTCTCTTTCTTTTTTTAGATTATTATTATTATTATTGCCGAATCACAAATTCTGAAACTCAAGAACATAAATGCACGGGCGATAAGTGCCGGCTTAAGTGTAGTCTGTTTTTGTAAGTAATGGCTATCTTTCTCTTCTAAATGTCATTGTGGTTTTCTGTAATCGCCGCGCGCGTTGTCATGGTGAAAAGGTGAAAGGCATGATATTTATGGGAAGGTGCGAGGGGCATTTAAGGCTCACACGCCGACATCCTCCTCTTGTCGCGCAGCTTCTCGTCATGTGTGAGGACTGCAAGGGAGACGGAGAGCTGCCGGACAAGTGCGCCGAGGACGGGAGGGACATGATGGTAGGCTGGAAGACGCACTCCGATTCAGGATGATAAAAACGATGTGCAGGTTTAGAGTCTGAGATTGGTCACAGCCTCGAGCAAGAGAAAGAAAAGATACAAAATCTAAAATAAATGTAAAAGTTTTCAGGAGCTGGTTGGGCTGCAGCGTTCCTGTGCGTAATTTTCCTAACCGGTGTTGTGATGATCTCCCTCAGGGCGCGCCAGTGGAAGTTTTGGATGAAGAGACTTCATCTCCGCCGGCGATGGCCTCTGCGCCTCTGCTGGGCAGAAGTGTGTGCGCCAACTGCAACGAGGAGATAGTGGATAAATATTTATTAAAGGTAAAACAAACCAACAAACAAACAAACAAACAAACAAAAAAACAACAAGAGCAAAAAACTTTTCTCGAGGTTTCATATCCGCCTTTGCATTTTTTTTGTCCTCATTGCTTTTGCTGCTTTGCGGCGGCGTTTATCTACAAATTCAGACAGCACGTCTCCTCCTAATTCATCGCATCTTTGCTTTAGGTTAACGACTTGTGCTGGCATGTGCGCTGTCTCTCCTGCAGCGTGTGCCAGACCTCGCTTGGCAGCCACGCGAGCTGCTACATCAAGGAGAAGGAGGTTTTCTGCAAACTGGATTACTTCAGGTATGCGCGCGCATCTTTTACTGTTGTAGATTTCCTTGTACAGTTGGGTAAAATCCTAATTATTAAAAAAAAAAACAAAAAACATTGACAAAAATCCGGCATGTAGTCCATGTTACATAGAGAATTTGCACCTTACCTTGTCTTTGTATAATAATAATAATAATAATAATAATAATAATAATAATAATAATAATAATAATAATGGTGAAATATTTTTATTTGTTTGCATTTTTAATAAATCTAAAATCTCAATAAATGTGTTCACAATTTAAATTATTAAAATAAATAAATAAATAAATAAATAAATAAATAAATAAATAAATAAATAAATAAATAAATAAATAAATAAATGTCTTGTACGGATGCAGAATTCGACTCTTATTATCACATCGTGTTATTTTGCAGAAATAATAATAGAAAATTATATTCAGAAAACTGTCACACTAAAAAAAAAGATCCTGCTGTTGTTTGGAGCTGTGAGTGACTCGAGCTCTTCTTTTGCAGACGTTACGGCACCTGGTGCGCGTGCTGCGGCAGGAACATCCACTCCACAGACTGGGTCCGCAGGGCCAAGGGCAACGTCTATCACCTGGCCTGCTTCGCCTGCTTCTCCTGCAAGAGGCAGCTCTCCACCGGGGAGGAGTTCGCCCTGGTGGAGGGCAAAGTGCTCTGCAGGGTCCATTACGACTGCATGCTGGACAACCTCAAGAGGGCCGTGGAAAAAGGTGAGCGGGCCGCAGCGCAGCGCGATGCTTCCAACCAAAAAGGGAAAGCTCTGCTGAATTATTTATTTTTTTTTTATCCCCCCAGGAAAAAAAAAAAAAAAAAAAAAAAAGAAGAAGAAGGAAAAAGTTGATTAACGTAATTGGATAATGTAGTCTTATTTGGATGGTCTTAATGAGAGCCTTCTGCTGCAGGAAACAGTGTTAATATGGAGGGAGCCGTGCCAACGGAACAAGAAATCAATCAGCCGAAACCATCCAAGAGAGCTCGCACCAGCTTCACAGCCGACCAGCTGCAGGTTTGTAAGACTACAACAAATAATAAATAATAATTCGATTCATTGTTTTATTTGCTGAACAAATTCATTCAAAATATTCGTTCAGGTAATATTTAAGCAGCCTTTTTCCTCCCTGTTGCTATTACAGGAAGATTTCAGGTTTGCTCTTTTATTTTGTTGAGAAAAATAAGCAAATTGATATCTTCAGCCTAATTAAAAATAATAAAGTAAATAATCCGAGGTTTACTTCTTTGTACAACTATGGCTAAAGTGGGAGGCCTGCTTCAGATCCCTTTTATTTTTATTTAACTGACCGTTTTACATTTTATGAGTCAAAGCTTCTGACTGACAAATGTTTATGTTAGAGAGGCACCAAAAATATTGGTCAAGAGATCGGAATATGAAATTATTCCTTTAATTAGCAAATCAAATCTAAAAGAAATAGGTTTTTCCTGTTCCTTAAATGCATCAAACCCAAAACCTAACCTCCTGCACACCATGGTTTTAGTTTTGATGCCCCCTTTTTTGAATTTCACAGAAAAATTCAAAATCCCTATATATTTCAGATGTGGGGACATATGCTTTGGTGCTTACACCATAATAATTTCTTCTTTCTCTGTTAAATTCAAAACGTTCACACCTAATGACGTTTTGGCTCTTCATAGTAGTCAGAAATAAAAATGAATTGTCAACAGGACAGACATAAAAGGAATGACCCAGTCAGTGTAGTGGAAAAAAAAAATAGATCCTGTATAAAAAATTAAAAGAGGAACATATGAACAGAATGACTGTTAATACCAAAGACAGGTATTGATAATTGTTTTCAGTACTGATTATTAAAACAGCAGAGATATTCACCGTTAGCCAGCTTTCACCCTGGACATTTTTAGATTGTTATGAATGAACCAAGTGTTTCAAACATTTATGTAGCGCAACAAGTTACCACAAATTACATAAAAACATCTATTCCTCACCCAACATAAGCTCAACGGTAATTCTTTTATCGATTTTCCTTCTGTTTGCGATGCATGCAAGACAAGTGGAGTCAGCTGAAGAAGGCTTCCGCCACACACAGCAGCACGGCTCTGTCGGGCCACACAAGAAGTGACTTTCCTCCGCTTGTTTACATGCAGGTGATGCAGGCTCAGTTCGCTCAGGACAACAACCCTGATGCTCAAACTCTGCAGAAGCTGGCGGAGCAGACTGGCCTCAGTCGAAGAGTCATACAGGTTGGTGCACAAAGACAAAACACGTCACGCGTGATCGCAAGATATTGGTTGGTAGAAACGTGTGGCTAGTGAGCTCGGTGACGGTGCATTGTGTGTCGAGTGGATTTATATTTGCATGGCTGCTTGGTTAGTGTTACTTTTTACTCTCTGACTGGAAACTATGTGTTCTCCAGCTGTGTGCCGGATAAGATGATTTAAATCTATCTCAGTCAGATTTGTTTGTGTTGAATCTTTTTTAGAGTGTTTTTCCCTTTCTGCATAGACATTTTAGTGATTTTTTTTTTTCCAAAATTATTGTTCTGTTATTGTTAGATGCCAGGGATGCTGGTCTTTGTCACTTAGTGGTTCTATTTCTGGTTATAATGCGGTTATTATTTTTATTATCAATGTGAATTGTAATGCAGGTCTGGTTCCAGAACTGCCGAGCTCGCCACAAAAAGCACGTGAGCCCCAATCACACCTCCAGCACCCCCATGGCCTCCCTGCAGACCGGCCGCCTGCCCCAGCCCACCCCGACCCCTGAAGAGCTGCAGTACACGGCCTACGGCGGCCCAGAAGGCTCAATGCTCTCAGCGCTACACTCCTTCATTGACAGTGAGAACAAGGCTTAACCCCCCCCCCACCCCCTTTTTTTAAACAAACTTTAAACATTTGACCAAAAACTGAATTTTTTTTTAACTAGTACACTTTTTATGTGTTTTATGATTATGGTAAAGGGTGATTTTTGTATTTATTACAGATAAATATTTTAAATATCTCTCATTGATGGCACTCAATAGTCAAATAATGGGGTTATCTTAGGAAAAAATAAAATCAATTGTATTAGTATTGCTAGTGTTAGCAGCACTACTACTACTACTACTACTACTACTACTACTACTAATAATAATAATAATAATAATAATAATAATAATAATAATAATTTGACATTATACTATTCTATTTCTACTAAAATATGCACCTCTGTTTATCTGCTGGTTGTGAAAACTCAGAAAACAAGAATGCTTGTAAAAAGGAAAAATGCAAGCTTAACCTTAGGTAAGAAAAAAAAAGCTAAACATTGTGGAAGGGGAGACACATCTAATAGAAGTAAATAAACAAACATCAGATCAGATGTCAATGTTCATTATGATAATTATGGCATACAGGTCATTTTGTTTCTCAGATATAACAATAGCTTCAATTTTACAGCTGGCCAACTGAACTGAACAGTCTATACACTCAGTACTTCACCATGAATTACTGCGTCAGTCCTTGGCGACACGGAGACGATGAGTCTGTGTTGCCTTAACAGCGGCACTCAGCTCGTCTGGCATGTTGGTGTCTCCGATCTTCCTCCTGACAATACTCCATAGATTCTCCCTGGACTTCAGATCAAGCCAGTTTGCTGGTCAGTTGAGCACAGTCATGCCATGCATGGCTATTTTAGCAGTGTAGGCAAGATCTAAGTCCTGCAGAAAAAGGAAATCAGGATCTATTGAGGCTTGTCAGCAGAGGTAAACATGAAATCCTCTAAAACTTCCAACTGCATGAAGCACAGACCTTAATAAAGCACAGGGAGCCTACCAGAAGGTGACTCGGCTCATAACTGATTATGGAAACGTCAAAGTGGCTCACAAGTGACTACTCCACTGTTCCGCCAAAACATTGGGATCTAAATTAAATGTAAAACTTTCATTGTATCTAAAAATTGATTCCAGGTCCTTGAGCAGCACTACTTTCTGTCTTGTCTGTTAAGATTTTGTTCTTTAACTTTTGTGGGCTTTGCTCCACAATTCTTTCGAGGTTGTAGTCATCCCTGTTGTGCCTATTGTTTTTTTCCCTCCACTCAACTTTCCAATGTTATGCTTGGATACAGCCCTCTGTTAGCAACCAGCTTTTGTAGAAATGACCCTTGTGGCTTGCCACACACAATAGTGTAACTGACCTCTGGCATGTCAGCAGTTGTCTCCATGATTGTGTTCGCCATGACCAAACTTTTACGGTAACACTTTATTTGAAGGGGGTTGAATAAGACTGACATGACACTGTCATAAACATGACATAACACATGTCATGAACCTGAATAAGCCTTCATGAATATTTATGACTGTTGTCATAAAGCGTCATTCGGTAAATTATGACACTTTTAATACAAAGTTGACATTATTCAAAATGTCTTTGTTATGACAACTTGACATTAACCAGGAAATCATTACTGATATAAATTTGTTATAAAAGTATTATTGATTAAACTTTACCTTTAATAACATAAAGTTACCTAATTTTTAAAGTGCAAACAGTTATGATTTCCTGGCTAATGTCAAGTTGTCATAACAAATACATTTTGAATAATGTCAACTTTGTATTAAAAGTGTCATGATTTACCGAATGACGCTTTATGACAACAGTCATAAATATTCATGAAGGCTTATTCATGTTCATGACAGGTGTTATGTCATGTTTATGACAGTGTCATGACAGTCTTATTCAACCCCCTCCAAATAAAGTGTTACCACTTTGACTAGTCTGATATGGATACCTGAGTTTTCATCTGCTGTACGCCATAATTATCAAAACAATAAGAAATAAATGAGCAATCTCACCATGTATAATGAAACTGAAGATATTTTTTCCTTTTCGAATTAAATCACCCAAGCAAATGAAGCAAATTGTTGATGTATTATTATAGATATATTAATACTCTTGCCCCAAAAACCTTAGATTAAAACAGGTTTGAATTATGATTGTGTTTTTTATTATTATTACTTCACAAACAAACCTGCACCTTAATGATGTGACAGTAGTAATAACTCGGACTCCGTTTTCTGTGTGTTTGCAGTACACTCTCCTCCCTCCATGTTTCAGCCGCTGCTGCCTGCCCACGCCATGACCTCCTTGCCTGTGTCTCACGCCTAGCTGCTCTCTCGCTCTCTCTCACACACACACACACACACACACACAGCTTCAGACCTCACCAGCGTTTCTTCTCCATAACCAGATGCAGTATTTTGATGCTCAAGGTAAATCTGATTTGATGTTCATCGTTTCATCTCATCATTTCATTTAAACTTCAACAAATTCATCCTTCCATGTTGGTATTAAAAAAAAAAACATAAAACAAACAAACAAACAAAAAAAAAACACTGTTGAAGACCATGACTTACAGTCCTCTGTGTACTGTATAATGTGGAAATGCAAAGTTTTCAGTGTACCTCATAGAGCTGTGACACATGGCAGTATACTTGTTTATGTTGTTGTTGACGATGTCTGACTGTGTTACTCCATGTGAAAGCCGAAAGGCTCTAAAACTCCGTATGAAGGTGAACCCGAATTTGTTTTGTATAAATGTTGCAATTTAATTTATTGTATGTGAAGTTTCTGTTTCAAGAATAAAGAACTAATTTCACAAACCTCAAGGAAATGATTGAAAACCTACAAATTGTGTTGACATCTCTGCACAGCACGGCATTTTATTGTTTTACAAAACATATTAGCTTATGGATCCTACAAGAACATTTTCCACATGCAATTCTAGATTTTCAGTCCTGCACATTACAAACATTTAAACTCGTTTTCACGTCTGACAGCTCAGAGCTATGCATCTTCACAATTTTTTTTTTTTTTTTTTAATTCTGAAGAGATTCTGAAAGAAAACGGAGTCCAATCTTACTAGCAGGGAGGATTTACTTGTGTCTACTTGCAGACTGTGGTTGACCAAAAGAATCTTATTTTCAGACATGGGAGGGAGCGGAGGGCATATAAAAACAAAGTTTTACCACAGTTATCAGATCTGAAGTATTCCCCCCCCCCCGGTGGGAATGAGACTAGGTCCCAGCTACACGCACAACAACGAGGAGAGATGTACGATTCAACTGGGAGCGCAGCCGCTATTCAGCGCAACACCGAAAATGACAACATGTCACATGTGCGCCATGCCCCACTGAGGCGCTGCATGCTTCGTTTGTCCTGTTCCTCATCCACAAGAACTGTTGTTGTGCTCTTTACTGAACGGCTTCATGTCCCGGCGTGTTCAGCTCAAACGGATGCCGTGGGTGTGTGTAAAGTCTGGCAGCGCTGTCACTCTGAGGTACCATGAGGGCAGGCTCTCATGTGTGACACACACACACACACACACACACACACACACACACACACACACACACACACACACACGCTCAAGGGAAAGACTCACAAACGTGAGTTGACTTTAAAGAGTCAGAGAGATTAAAATCATTTAAATAACAGATGCATAAGTCCACCCTGGATAAGAAAGAAATTAAGCAGAACAGAGTGTTTTGAGACTCAGAGGACAGCTAAGATGCTCATTTATTCAACGTTTTTCCAAAAAAATAAATAAATAAATAAATAAAAAAAAATAACGGACATAAAACTTTACATCTTATTCTCTACTCTAGAATTAGTCTCAAAGGGTAAAGACATAAAAGGATGCATCTTACTGGGTTTTACAATCAAACACAGTTAAACGAACAAACTTCCAACTACATCTAGCACATAGGTGGGAGGAAACTGCTTTGAACTGGGCTCAGAACTCCTACAAGAGTAAGTCAGCAGCTCTTTTTAGGATGCAGTGAAAGAACAGTATCGGACTTTGAAAAGTTGTGTAAAATATTCACAGTTTGAGATATAATTTACTGCAGTCGCAATAAAAAAGGGTCGGTTGTACTGCAAGCGCCTTACAGCATTTGACTGATTTTTAAAGTGGCATCAGTTTGGTAAGGATGTCAGTTTAGCTGAGAAAAGCCACGCCACCTCATAAAAAAAAAAAAAAAAAGAAAAAATAAGCCTTTGTGCAATCTTTAATAATTTCTAGCATCTTCTACAGCCCATAATAGTTAACATTCATTAACTTTAATATATTTCTCCTCTAGTTCACACATTTGCATACCTTCATATCAGCACCAGGAAAAAAAGCAATAAAATAGGACAAGATAAAACAATCATTAAAAAATGTAAACAATGCCATTTATAAAAACGTCACCTCACACATTCTTCTGAGAATATTATGACATATTTTGAGCTATAAGGTCAGCAGTGCATTATCGTTCACCAGCAGTACATACAGAATACGGCATGGAAAAATGACTGGCTCCCTCACATGGCAAAAACTGGAAACTACAGGAGCTCAAAGTGCAACAAAAGCAGAAGTTACTGCAGTCCCAATAAAGAAATGTGTTGTACCACAAGAAACCTTCGGTGAAACTTGACTGCAACTGTAAATAATATGATTATTAATAACAATTTGACAGCAGGCGGCCAAGGACAGCCATCTATTTAAAGGGTTTAAACTTGGTGTAAACTTGCAGAGTCTGAATCAAATTATTATTATTATTTTTTTAGAAAAGCTCATGCCAGTTAAACTGACATTTGACAGTTTACCGCCTCATCTTCTCCTTCTTGTAACTACGCGCAATGGCGTCGACGGTCTTTCCAGTACTTCTACAATCGTTCTTTTCTGGAAGATCTTCATCAGGTTTGGGGTCATGTGGTAGGGCTTGCTCGGCGAGCCGTTGTTCACCTCCAGATCGCACACTACGGCGAGACAACGTTAAAGACATTTGTGATTATGTGACGCCTTAAAAAATCAAAACCTCTACAAAATGCACATGGTGACACGTCATCCATTTATGTTTATTCAAAAAGAAACGATCACATTTTCAATCTGATTCATTTAGTTAAAAAAAAAAAAAAAGAAGTCCTGTACAAAACTGAAACACAGATTAACCTCCAGACAGACGTGTGTATTATACTGAATATTAAAACAGCACAACATCTGAACATCCAATAATTATAATAATACAAATAAAAAGAATACCAAAAATGGCTTTGAAATCCTTTTATAAACTTTATCCCAAAAACTCCTGGTGTTTAAGTCTAAAATTACAGAAGGAGGAACAATTTTTTTATTCCTTTTTTTTTTTTTGACAACTAGGCACATAAACTAGCGGCTGCAATCACATGTCCTGAAGATACTCAGGCTCTGTCCAGATTTTAAGCAATAACCATAAAATTTATGTTAAAGTCTTAACCTCCCACAAAGTCTTTGTGTTACAGTACGTACAAGGGGGGGGGGGAGTATTAACTGAAATGAAATGATTGTGTGGTGAACTGAAAATAAAAGTTTAGCTGGGTGTAGTGTTCAAATCATATTCAGATTTGTTTTTACAATTATCAAGGATGAAAATCACCTAAAAAAAAAAAAAAAGTGGGGAAACAGCAAATCATGCTGCAGGCAGTAAATAAAACACACGATTCCTTTACTGTAAGGTGAATCAAACAGATCATGATTTCACACCAAAAGACCAAAGTGCGATAAGAAAGTGCCCCAGAAGTCCAACACTGTTCAGGGTGATGCTTTACATCATAGTCCATCAGTGGCATCTGTACAATTTAAGGTCCCCATGTTTGTTTGGGTTTAAAAACAAAACAAAACAAAACAAAACAAAAACAATGCGTCTCCGCTTGTGCATCCATCCTGTACATTGATGTGCATCCTCAAAGTAAGGCAGAGGTCAGCAGAAAATACAGAGAAACATGAAGAAAAGCATAGCAGACAAAAAGGCAAGTATCTGAACTGGCTCATGAGAGGAAGTGAAGCCAAGTGTTTTTTTGTTTTTTTTTGTTTTTTTTTGTTTTTTGTTTTTCGGTCCACTGTGCTTTGGGACCAGAACTGTGTACATGTCCTTTCATGTTCAGGTCATCCCTGCATCCAGTTTAGATGTTTAGCCCTCGAGAACTTGCAGAGCCTCCACACACAAAGCAGATATGGAGAAGTGAGTCAGAATCAAAAGTTAAAAAAAAAACAAAAAAAAAAAACAAAAAAAAAAAACAGCTGCACATTGCTCAGGAGGAAGCACTCGATTTAGCACGTTCCTCTCCTTTGCGGAGGATCTTGTGCAGGCCTGGAGATACGAAGTAGGGCCTGGAAGAAGAGCCATCGTTCCTCTCCAGGTCCTCACCTGAGACCGTATCGCAGCACAGAAGGAAAACGGCAGAGGCAGGTGAGCGGTGCAAGAGAGACGGAAGGGGAAAGAAAGGTAAAGGCTTAGTGGAGAAAGTAAACAAAAGCAGAATAGGAAACTGTGAATAACTAGGAATGCCCTTTAGTCATTTAGAGGTAGCTTTGCAGGACTCCCGCATCCCCACACATAATCTACAACTGATACGCTGAGAAGTTTATAAAAATACCGCATACTTACAAAAGCATAGGAACAGCGTGTCCACACACATGGCATAAACATTAAAAAAGCCACTTGTGATCATGAACGACCCAATTATCAGCGTCTGGGGAAAAAAAAAAAAAAAATCAAAAGATGTTTAGTCTGCATATCATTTTGTTTTTATGCAACAAACAACAGAACGGGTCAGAATGGGGCCCTCGTTGATTACCGAGTTCCTGACTAAATTCAGCTCTCCATGTCAGTTGTTGTTACATCAGACACACTACCATGTATTGTGCAGCCAATGATTTAAAATCACAAGTAAACTGTGTTCACAGATTGCAAAACTGTCATAGGTTATGCACAATATTTTGATTACATAATTTGTTTATATTATATAAGAGAGTTTTACTTTACAATGATTTGCTAAGAGGGACTGCATTGGTTGCTTCGACTTCCTGTGTGTCCACGTATTGTTACCCAATGTTTGAATTACATTTTGTTTTTTTTCAGCTTTTTTTCCCTGTATAATACATTACGAGCCAAATTTACAAACTAATAAAACAGAGACTAAATAGTCTAGCCTTAGCCTAACTCTTCAACAAACTGTAAACACAAACAGAAGGAGCAAGACGGTAGTTTACTGAAAACTGTCTCTGCGAATAGAGTCAATTCTACAGTTAGATAACATCTAAACAACAAATAAAGACGTTACGGATGTTTCGGGTTGATGTGCTGTCAGAACCTTACAGCAGCCGATGCCGTATCGGAGCAACATATTAACACTGCCCTGCATACACTTTGGTTGGGGTATAATATCTGTGTACCTTAAGAAAACTACATTCAGCAGCGCACCCTAATGCCAATGAAATGACCTGTACTTGTTTAGGGTCTTATCAAGTCCAAAGGACCCCAAAGCACTTCACACTACATTCAGTCATTCCAGAATTCATATGCACATGCATACGCTGAATGAAATGTAATGTGTTATTTTTAAGTTCAGCTAATATTCATGCAAATAATTCCTTTTGCCAAGTTAAAATTTGAAAAATGTCTCATTCTAAGCCGACAGCTTTAATCAGCGGGAGTTAAACTGCATTCATTTACATTACAATGACGTTTCATCTTCTTACCAGAAGGGGGACCCAATTGAAGTTGAGTTGAGGTACCATATCTTGAACAATCGGTATTCTTTTGGAGAAGAAGAGAAATGCAAGGACCCCTGAAAAAACAAACATGTAAATTTGTCCAATTGTATGTCATATTTTATTTCTAAAGGATAAAGTCTACAGAATGTGTTAAAAAGATACAGGCTCAATAACACTAATTGATTAGTACGGCCAGAACCCAACGTTTTTTCCCCTCTTCTTTGCAGCTCAGTCAGATAAGACGGGAAGCCTCTGCGAACAACAACTTTCAAGTTTTACTACAGGTTCCCAGTTGAATTTAGCTGTGAACGTCTGACAGCAAAAAGTCTTTTTGCTGTCAGGTTTTCTTTCCTTCAACTCTGACTGGCTTTACTTGTATTTTGCTGAGGAAAATTATCAACACCCTTCACAAGGATGGTAATCCCCAAAAAGGTAATTGCTGAGGAAGCTGTTCGTTCACACAGTTCTGTATCCAAGCATATTATCAGAAAATTAAGTGGAAAGAAGAAATGTGACAAGAAAAGGTGCACCAGAATAAGGGAGAACCTCAGTCTTAAGATTGTCAAGCAAAATCCAGAATACAATACAATTCATTTAGGGATATAAGAGACTAAGTAAAATTCATGCCAAACCTTTCCGATTTTTATCTGTAAGAAAAAAAAAAAAGAAAGCAAGGGACATTTTCCTTCCATTTAAAGTTGTGAACTATTTTGTGCTGGTTTATCACATACAATTCAGCTGACAATTACACTGAAGTTTGTTTTTGGACAATATGATGCACATATACGTTTTGCAAGGCATTCTATGTAGAGGTACTTAATCTGGGCCAAAATAAATGTGATTTATGTTTGATTACAAGTATCAAACTGAACTGGATAAAATTACCCTCAAAGTGAAACGATGTCTTTAAAAGAACAAAGGCAGAACAGGAATTTGAAGCAGATTTTGACATGCTACTATTTACAGAAGTCAAATGAAAGGAAAACTTACCAATTCCTCCTGAAATGACCAGTTTTCCTATGAACAGCAGAAACGTGATGAGGTTATCTAAGACAACCACCCTTCAGAAGAAAAGTAAGAACAAAGATATCAAAGCGATGGAGAGGACTTTTCAAAACAGATTTGCTACTCTTAGCACCATTACATTAGTGAGGATGCAAACTGCAAAAGTTGCGCAATCTCTTGAATATTTAACTGGTGTCTTTACATTATCGTTAAACCAATATAGTTTCCAATAAGTTTTTTTTTTTTTTAAATGTAGCTGCCTGAAAAGAAAAAAGATCCAACTTAAAAGGAACTGTGACACCTACAATCACAAACATACGTGCATTTCATTGGAATGTTATGTGAAAGACCAACACAAAGTGGTGTACAATTGTGACGTAGAGAGAAAATTATACACGATTCAAAACATTTCTTTTTGTTTTTACAAAGACAAAAAAATGAAAAGTGCGGTGTGCAAAAGTGTTTTGCAAGCCACTGTATTTTGTTGACGAGTAGATTGGCTTTTAGAGAGCTGGAGCAAATAGAAAGCTAACGCAGGTACACACCGCAAAATATTCCTCATCAAGAGATCAAAAGCGTCCCTGGAAGATTTGCAAAAGCTGTGCCCGTATATTGCTATCTGTTGGTGACAAAGTACGGAGATAGTTAGGCACAAGGGTGCAAGCGTGGCCAAACAACAGCTATAAACCAAATGAATTCATGGAAATGACCTACCATAATGTATGCATTTGTGTTAAGAAATTTGATGAACCTTTCCAGGCACCAGAAGCAGCACTTGAGGCAGTGAAGCAGGAACCGACTCATACAACTTTGAGAATCTGGGAAGCCAACATCATCACTTTATTTGAAATAACTGTTCATTTTGTTCAGAGTAAGAATGCCAGTCTGTTAAAGAGTTCAAACTTGCGTTTCAATTTGAGATGAAGGTTCTCCAGAACAATTCGGATCATCTGCACCATAGCAAGGAGTAGAGAACCAAAGGCTAGAGAACCCGTGTGGTAACTGTGCAGAAAGAAAACAAAACAAAACAAAACAAAACAAAACAAAACAAAACAAAAAAAAAAACATTTAGCTGTGATTAATTTTAACACTGGATCAGAAATGATCAAAACCAAGCAGTTTCTCATGAGACGACTCATCTCATTCTATGTTTTACTGACAGTAAAATACTAGGATTTTGTAAGCAGCAGAAATCCTAAACCACTAATCATTTCCCCGCTTTTGAGATTTTTATTTTACCATTTGCTACTCTTTACCCCACATGAATACGGATTTATACACAATGTTATTAGCTTACTTTAAAGTGCGTCTGAGACCTACCGCATGGCTCTGCTGAACGAAGCGTAAACAGGGCAGGTGGGGATGTCTTTCGGCTTCCTCTTGGCCCAGTAGTAGGAGGCGAATGCCCCTGCTAGAGTGCACTTTCCCAAGGCCAGGACAAAGTTGACCAGCCAGAGGAACACAAACAGGTTACAAACATGGAGGAGGACGATGTAGTTGTGGTATATAGTCTCTCCACCGTAGAATGCGAACATGCACTGTGCTCCAGGGCACTCTTTGGCTATGTTGGTCTGATCGAAGGTCTAAAGCATAGAAACACACGAGAATTTGGTATTTAGTGAAGATTTGTGAGTAGTATCAGTGTGCATCTGAAGTAATCACGTATTTACTAAACACTGTTTGACCAAGTTGCGTAGGAATCCTTTCAAATAAAAACTATTGCACGGTAGAAAGGCACCGTAAAACCTATTGACGCACAAACAATTCATTTCTCACACTGCTAATGTGATGTGGTGTGAGTGTGTGGGTCTAACCTTTGGACTACACGTGAGGTTTCTGTGAATGCACTTATCATCAGGGGATGTCACCTTGTAGATGGCGTTACCTGAAGAGGCCAAGAAGCTGAGGGATCACCAGATAAGGCAGCAAACCCAATAACTCTCAACTAAATTATAACTACCACACAAAGCTAAATAACAGGGGCATCTGAAATTTTTTTAATACATCTGAAAAGTTAATTAATTTCATATATATATATAACATGCAAAAATAAAGGATACACTGCTGTGACAGCAGAGTAGGCTATACAGATGGCCAGAAGAAAAAAGGTGACGATCGGGTAGAAGAGAGTACATATGATGTAAAAGATGGCCCTAGAAACAAGATCAAACATTGTATGAAAAAAGGTGGACATATACAGCTTACTGGTTAAAGCTTACAGTCACACTCACCTGCTTCCTTCCTTCATTAGTGCAAAAGCGATGCTTAGATTCTTTCTCAGAAAAATCAGCATAAGAACGATGACGATCACAATCAAAATAAGCACGATCACTAAAACACAAACAACAAAAAAAGACACTTTCATCTGGTCTCTGTTACCAACTTTGGTGCCAACGCATGCGCCGCCAATAATGGGAGTTGTTTTGCAACGTACTCAAAACGAGCCACGTCTGGCTCATCTCAAGGTAAATGCTGAGATCTGTCTGGAAGCCAATATCAGAGATGGCGACGTTTGTATCCGGTTTATCCAACAGAAGAACGTACTCTTTGTAACACCGCCAGCCACCTGAAAATTACAAAAAAAAAACAAACAAACAAAAAAAACCCCCGAAGCCATCGTAAGATCGTTTCTCATAAGAGAAGAACTAGGAGTAAAACTGTTTAAGATGCGTTCGAGTTGTGCACGCTCACCATAGCCGGCTGCAATGATGATACCACAAATCATGAGCCACAGTACCACACAAGCAATGTAGCGCATCAGAAGGATGAAGCTCAGACTGAACACCATGGTCATTCCCAGGCCTCTGTGGCAACACAGAGACAGGATGGCATGAGAAAAAGCAAACACTACGCCAGAGGCTGCCAGTCATCTGTGGCAGCCTTTTCAGATGGGATTACATCTTCGCCTGTCCAAAGCACAGTACACACATACTTTTGCAAGTCACTGTATATAGATAGGTCACTGTGTAGATCAGAATATGTCCAAATATTTGACAAGTGAACAGTAAAAACTTTTCTTTTTTTTTTGAAGAATTTACAAGAAACTGTCACATAGAACATACTACTGTACTTACATTAATATCCATACCCAGGAATTTGCATAATCCTCCAAGATCTTTATGCCAATTTCTTTGGCATTCAGCAGACTGGCTATTCCCCTGTTGTAAAGTAACAGTGTTTGAGAGAGAGAGAGAGAGAGAGAGAGAGAGAGAGAGAGAGAGAGAGGAGACAATAAACACATATGAAGATCAGGTTTGCAACCTGTGTATTACTAGTTTGCTAGTATTTGTTGTATGTAATTTACTATGTAGCTTTAGGGATTGTTTTTTATCAGGAGAAGTTTACATACACTCATACTACCTTGACTTTAACCTATTTGGAAAAGGCCAACAAAACAAATGAAAGGCCAGTTAAAATAACTGTTCACAAGTATTAACACCACAGAAAGACACAGCCATAGTCAAGAAGAAGAATTGTTTCCCACAGATTTTATATATTTTGATGGAAAATATGCAGCACACTCCGAAAATGAAAACAAACGTCCAAGTGAAAACTAAATACTTATAAAAGTTATGTCATTTTTATAGAGTATGTACTGTGCATACCTGGTTTCAGATGTAACTTTTAGAATTAAAATCCCATGTTATATAATAACATCAAAAGTAAACACATTGTACTAGAAGATTTTTAAATGTTGAAGAGTTGCAAAGAATGACCAGCAGGGGGCACTAAACCCTTTCCCATTATTTAAAAAGTATAGCCCGGGGTATGAAAGTAACAAAAAAAAAAAGACTTCAGAAAAATAAGAATTTTTATTTTTAACTTAATGACCAAGCAGAGTGTGACGGAGCGTAAACAGAGTGTCTTCACAAACACAGAGTAGTCAATGTAAGTTACTTTGTGTTGCAGACTCAAACCTATAAAACACCCTTCCCCCCCTCATCAACATTTAGCAAATTTTATGAATAAAAGTGAAATTTAACCTTAAACTATAATCTAGTTTTCTGAAAGAAAAGGCAAAGATTCAGGCTGGCAGGAAGCAGGTCTTACATTGCAGCATCTCTGAGATCGTTGACAGTCCACGTGTTGTTGTGATGGTCTCTGAAGGTGGTCTGATTTGCAACAGTTAATAATCCCTCCTTTGATGTGAACTCCGGAAAGCACCGCTGTAGTACTGAAGGAAATTTGGAAAGGAAACGTTAGACATTTGTATTTGCTGTTATGTCCAAAACGTGTCATATTCCTGTGAAGATTTAGTTTTAAAATCATTTTCATTCAATCAAGAAGTTTATTTTTTAGTAGAAAACAAGACTATCCCAGAACAACATAAAAAGAAAGCAAAATGTTACATGTTTTGCAGAAAATGATCCTCAGATGAGATTTCACCTGCTTGGTTCTGCCTATTTTGAGCTCCTTTGAGAATGAGTTGTTTTAGAGCTACACCACTGTTATGCAAACAGCATGGTGATGACCAAGCCAACAATCTGTGCTGACGTGAAAATGACTGCAAAAAGACATACAATTGTACAACTGTACATCTTTGACCCCAAGTCCAGCTGCTTGCTGTATCCAGGCCATCAAGGAGACAGCAAGCAGCTTCTGAGAGGTAATCATGTTTAATTTGCATATTTGCAATAAACAGTATAAACAAAACTTTCTTTCGGTCGAAGTCTGTCGGCTGGCGTTGCCGTGTACTGTCAGTAGTTTTCAAAAAAAAAAGTCTGTTGTGAAGTGATTCAGACAAACCGAAACTGGATGGGATCATTCTCCACATCACGATTTATTTGGGAAATGCGTTTCCACCTTTAGAGTTTAGAGAACAAACGTTTTTCAGAAAATGCAAAGATCACCTGAGGCGAGTGTAAAACCTATTGAGAAACAGAAATTGTTAGTTTGAATTTTGCTGTTTCCGTCAAGCTTTTCTAGTGCGATACTTCAAATTGTGCATAAAAATAAAAATAAAGTGAAGCCATGCAGCTCTGTTCTCCGTAACTGCAGTGAGGAACAAAACACTTTTCATCCATCCATTATTTTGGGGTTGCTTTAGGTGAGGGGAAGAGTCCGCCCATTGTGGTTTTTCAAAACGACTTGTTAAAAAAGAGACATATGTGCAATATGTCCCCTCTAATAATAATTCCAGTCAGAAAAAAAGGTGTTAGTGACATTAAAATTGAATTTTAAGTCCAAATTTGCCAAGGGTATAACTTTTGACTTAGCCATTATTTGGCAGACAAGTACTTATTTTTTCCACTTACTTGGTTTGCTTGGCACAAGCATTAGAGGGCAATCTTCATCTCGAATGACCTCTGCAACTGACTGAAAGAGCAACAGACGAGACAATGTTATATACAACTCAAAATACGCAACAGTCATCGACCAATCGGTTGTTTAAAAGAGAGAAAAGTGCTACTATAATTTTCAAGGGCTCATTGTTAAACAAAATCTCTTTGGATGCCGTCTAGAAACTTTCAACACTAAAAAGGCCAACAGGTTTTGCCATCATAATTTATCCTGAATGAAACCTGAAGTTCAGTGCTGTCAGAATTGAACAATATACACACTTGAAATGATTTGGGAAGGAAAATGATGATTCAGTTCCGAACAGTATGAGTGTGGTGTCTTTTGCTCCCACACAACACCTTACGCCGCGTCATGCTAACGTCATTAGCACTGAGCTGCTGTCAGTCGAGAGAAGATGGCTGAGGTGAGTATGAGTAAAGGCCGACTCTCTTCCCTTGTCTATCAAAGCTATGTACATTAAGTTAATTACTAAATAACTGCAGACATGGATCTTTATCAACCTAAATTATATTAAAAAAAAATAATAATGTTTTTACGCTAAAAAAGGCCTACAGAAAGAGACTGTAGGTGGAAAATAAATTGTTTGTTTTCAACTATAAATCAGTTTGTTCGAAGAATACAACAAACATCCGTCACCATTTCCTACCTTACTTCCAAACTCAAAGCCAGGCTTGCAGAATTGCCTGTAATATTCCCAGCTGTTGTCAGCTGAAACGTTGGATAGCGTGGCAAATCTGTCAGGGCACTTGGAGACACAGAGCTGAGGGAGAAAACACATCTCTTGAGGATGAATTTCACCAGTTTTGAAGGAAAGATTGAGAAAAATGCTTTGTTTTTTTTGCACAATGCTCTACTGGACAGGGCTGTCTTCAGTCTCGTACCTGAGTTGTAGGGCACTGGAGGTTAATTAAAACTGCAGGACTGGCACATTTCAGCATGTTGAAGTAGAATAATATATTTTTATTTCTACAAACAAAGAAGATACAACAGACAAAGAAGGGCTTTAGATTAGAGAGATCTAAAATTCTATTGCAGAGAGACAATTTATGAGCAAGTCCTTAGGCACACATACACACAGAAAAACAAACACATGCTGTGCTCTGTGAATTAAGACTTGTCAGGATTAATCACAAATCATCTCTCGTGTACTGGTGCTGCAGACAAAGCCTATTTAGAGCGTAAAGATAACAATGGGAAAGCTGACAGACAACATGGACATCATAATTATTTCACTGTAATGTCAGTTTTTGAAGGCAAATGTATTGTAACTCACGAATTCGAGGTGTCCTTCTGGCCACAAAACTGACCCTGGCTGTCAGTTGGAGAGATGATTTTCCTGGGGTCTCCGTGGAACCAGGCTAGGAAAAAAACAAAACAAACAAAAAACAGCTTTTCATTTGAAATGCCACTGGTAAGATCACTACCCGCCTTTTCGAAAGCTAGAAAGCAACAAATTGCATGACAGTTAAAAAAGATTAAAGTAAGTCCTACACAGTTGCTGACATTACTGCTAGGGACTGTTGTCATATTATATAATCTAAACCAGGGGTGTCAAACTCATTTTCATTTTGGGTCATATCAAAAATCTGAATGTTCTTAGAAGGGTTGTGCCAGAATGTAGTAATTTTGCTAAAATATCAATAAATAGCTTCTATAGTGTTAAAATTTAATAATATTGAACATCTTTTCAAACTGGTCAGTCCATCCAGGATTCTGTGATTTTGTGGGGGTTTTTTGCAATCAAAATCACAGATTCTGTGGTGCTAATTAAGAAATATTTGGAAGGAATTAATGTGTGACGTTAAATGTAAATTTTTATTATTCACTGTATCGGTAACAGATGATCACTTGACATCAAATGAAGTTGAGGCAGCAGTCACTTAAGCCTAATGGTTTTTGGCCAATTTTGAGAAAAATTGTCAATAAAATCAGAAAAAATATGGGGATCTGTTGATGATTTTTTTTGTGTGTGAATTTTGCAGATTTGCGAAAAACTGGAGAGAGTTATTGTTGTAATTTGGAGTTTAGAGGGCCACATAAAGAGCTACGGCGGGGCCAAATTTCACATTTCGGTGTAAAAGTTATTTTATTGGTCTAATGTGATGATTTTATTTTAAATGTGCTTTCCCTAGCTCATGGCAGAAAATTGTCACAATTAGCAGAAATAAAGGCATTAAAGCATCAGTCTTTAGAATTTATTTCACTTAGCCAATTTAGTTGCTGAAATAAATTAACTTTTAAATAATATTTTATTTTTACTGAATAAGTCTGTACATTCAAGAAAAGTGCTAGATTGGTAGATGATGCAAACATTTGGGCAATCTTGTCACGATGACAAGGAAGAATGCTTGGATTAGTCAGGGTCATATTTTGAAGTATAATAACAGCACCACCTATCAAAACACTTTTCATTAAATGTCAAAAAGGTACAGATTAGGAGAGTATAAGTCTGACAAATCAGAAAGAAAATGTACCACACAGTCTCTGTTAAAGAAATAAAATCATTTCTTTAAACAAATAATTACAAAGCTAAATACTTGACTGAAACAGCACACCATTATTTTGTGATTTTTTTTCCCAAGGTAAAGACATGGCCAGAACAGAGCGCATTCTTTGAGTGAAGGTGTTTTATTTAAATTTGCTACACTCCAAACAACCAGATATTTGGGTTATTAACAAGCTTGTTAATTCAGGGCTTTTGTGATGTAATCACCGGCAATGTAGGAAACTCACCGACAGTACCCAGGGCGATGTAGCCCAGGATAACAATGAGAAAGATAATGCAGCAAATCACATCAGTGCACTTCCTGTAAATTAGAACACAAGCATAAATAACAGAGAGGGACATAGAAACCCGAAACAGGGAGTTTAGTTTTACAGTGAACCGACAATTTGCTGTTATGTTTGAAGAGCGAAAGAAAACCAAATTACGCGCCTCTGGATTTATAGATAATAACTGTGTTACACAGTAGTAGGTTTATGGCAGGTGAATTACAGCTCTACAAAATATATGATGTACACATTTTGGAGGGAGGATTATCTCTGTACTGCATTTTCAAAAGGACTGCTGTAGTTCTCAACCAACTTCCTGATGAGAATCCAATTCCCCAAAGGGTTAACTGTCCCACTGGCACAGAGACAGATATTTGAAGATTTTCACAGCAGTCTGCCAAAAATAAAATGTATATAAAACAAAACAAAAAAAGAGGGATGAAAAAGAAATGCATCCTCTCTAAGTCTTTTTTCACTCTTTTATAGGCTTGCTGCATAACAAGCCGTCTTCCCCTCCCTCCTGCACAGTGAGGGGCTGTGCAGCTAGCTCATTTTAAAACCATTCAGATGCTCGGAAGGAGCACACCCATCCACAAATGAAGGAAAGTCCAGCCCACTGTGTCAAGTGGCACCATTCAAGCGAAGGACAATTCAAAACCTTCCCATGGTGCCGTCTGCTTGGGAAATTGACTTGAGGCTCTCATCCCCTCCACTTTTCAAAGCCAAGGTCAATAGGAGGCCTAAGCTGAAAGATGCAACAGTACTTCTTTTGAGTCTCTATTGGGCAATGAATTGTCTTTTTTTTTTTCTGCAGGAGGACTACATCGCTGCACAAAGACTCTATTGCACCTCACAATGAATTAGCAGAGATAACAGCAGTGGAGAAACCCATGTGGAGAAGAATAAAAGCTGAAATACGCAATTTATAATAACATGAGTAAAATACTGCTAATTGTATACTTACTTTAACTTTATAGATCAACGGTTTGACTTTGTTTACATGTGCTTTTGGATGTAATAAATTATATTTATGGTCCAATAAAAGTAAATATAAAGATGTAAAAAATCCTTGATCTTAAAGGAAGAATATTATTTAATACCTAAACATATAACTGTATATGACTATAATACTATATATAATATGGTCAAGCATATTATTTTCCAACATAACATTTGTTTTTGAATTTGTACAACATTTTGACTTCTGAAATAGCATCCAATTACATTATTAGTTGTTTTTTTTTTATCTTGTGATATCAACCATTTTATCTAGGCATAAAAGAAAAAAAACGGTGTCAAAATTGGTCACTGCTATGTATGTTTATGTCAGCCACAGACACAGAATATAAGGTTTATAATGACAATATGCTTCTCTATTACCAAAGAGTTTCAAGATTATGAGTCTTAAAAAGAAGGTAGTAAAGCAAAGTGTCACTCGTTTCATTCTTTTTTTCAAAAAATAAATGTCTGGGTTCCTATGGAAAGTATATCATTCCTAATTTTAAAATCCATCTCCATCCTGGATGGTAAATAGCTAAGATATCACTCTTAAACATCAGAGGTAAATTACAGCGAGAAGATCTAAAAGCTAAGCATCCTCAGGTGAAAGTGCCTCTCCTGTCTTGTTTCCATGAATTTCTTGTCTGTTTCATCTCCACATTTAGACAGGACTGCATTTTTTAAGGAAAAAAAGCAAGCACAGCACTAGAGTGTTAAAACAAAGTCACCTTTGAAACAAATAAAGGTCAGTGTGCTGGAGGAAGGCTGATAAAAAGAGGAGAGTGAAACAGTTCTGCTTTGCTCTGTTATATCTCAAGTAGATTCCAACATGGCTGCACTCCCAAACTTCAGATCTGCTCAGATGTCACTTGCACAGAGATCAACAAAAGCGTTCTCCTACTTCCTGTTGGCAGGAATTCTGCTTGAAAACTAAAAAGGACAAAAAGCAAACAAAACAAACAAACAAAAAAAACAAAAAAAACTAAATGTATAAATACTTGAAGCATCGCGAGTGAAGTGGCAAACTTTGGAGTGTGCATCGTGTGTGAAGGGCTGGTTATCTGCGGGAGCCAAAGTGACACAGATGGCAGGTTTTTAACAGGATAGTGGGGAGCCATTGTGGCTGGAATCTGCCAGATTGTCCCAGCTTTGTCAAAATCATTTGAGCAAAAAAAAAAAAAGAAAGATTTGCTCAAATAAGGGATATTTTACATGCTTAAAAAAAATCCATGAGTGGCAGCCGCTCAGGGCAGCTGTATCACCAAATACAACACTTTGAAAGAAGAAAAAGAGTGATGAAAAAGACAGTTTGATTTATGTTTAAAATCTACATTTAAGACTCGGTGACACACAGAATAGGGCGCTGTTCACTGCTGTGTCGTTTTGATTTTATATGTTTAAAATGGTAAACATTTACAACATCTAACCTATAAATAACTTATAGTAACTGCATAAGTTACCATATTCAGCCGGGTTGGAAAAAAAAAAAAAAAAAAAAAAAAAGAAAGACAACCGCTGAGTTACTCTTCTCCGTGCTCTCATTAAGAAAAGCCTGTGGGTCAGAACAACATCAAAGTGTGCTCTGCTCCTCCAAGCAGCCACATCGCAGTGATGTGTAATGTGGAGGGTTGGACTCAGAGAAACAACAGGACTGGAAAATGCCTGCACAGCAACCTGCCAAACTGGCACTAAAGATAAAAGATAAGATTGGTCAAAGGGGAAAATTGGTCAGGTAAGAAAAGGAAAAGACTAACTCATAAAGAAAAGTGGAGGATGAAAACCTCAAAGACTATTGCAAAGTGTACTTTATTCAAATAAAATTAAGAAGAAATCAAACCACTATTAAATGTAAAATTAATTTCAAGACTTTGTTTTATTTACCCCTACTATAAATAATTGAATGTTCTTTATGCTCCTCTAAGTGGGCCTATGTTTATTTTTTTGATGTTTAAAGCTGCAGTATATAACAATTTTATATATATATATATTTTTTTTACATATTTGTTGAAACTGTCACTATGTTGTTATGCCCATAATTCCCTGTGGTTGTATGACCAGAGTAGTTATCATTATTGTTGCATGAAAAATAATCCATGTATCACAATGTGACAGAAGTATGTGCCAAAATGATAGCACAACAGGGACAATCAATACACAAGTAGGGTTCAGACGCAGTGGGTCAGGTCGTCTAAATTACAAAAAGAAAAAGAAAAAAAAAAGAGTTTTTCTTATTTTGCAATAAAGTGCAACGGAAATACATGTTTCTGATATAAATCATATCCAGTGAGTATTAATATTTTGTAGAATGTGCACGTGTTGAATGTCAGGTTAGGTAAAGATTAGTATCTACCTGTTCTGAACAGGCCCTCTGAAGTTTGGGTCAAACTTGATTGGTTCACCTGTAGAGAGAACAGCGACATGGATTAATAAATACAATCACAATTAATCAATATGATAAATAACAAAGGCCGGAACTCCAAGCCATTAATTTCCATCCATCCGTCCATCCATTATTCGAACACCCTTATCGTTGCAGTGTTGTGAGGGGGTCTGATGCCTCCAGCGGTTATTGGGCGAGAAGCGGTAGACGCCTGCACCAAGCCCATATCAGGGTAACGCAGAGACAGACAGGGCAAACAATCATGCGCACACACACACCCACACCTAAGGAAAAATTAGAGAGCTCAATTAACCTGACACTCATGTTTTTAGACGTTGGGAGGAAGCTGGAGTACCTGAAGAGAAGCTACTCATGCACAGGGAGAACATGCAAACTGCATTCAAAAAGACCCGAGGCCAGGACATGAATCCAAGACCTTCTTGCTGGAAAGCAACAGCACTACTAACTCTGCCGCTGTGCTGTTCAAACACATTAATCTTTATTAATTAATTACATCGACTTTAACACGCTGAAAATGTTAACGCAGCCCCAGAACATCATTCGCGTGTTACTGACACGCACAAATCTAATGCAAAAGCGACATCCGCAAACAACAGCGTTGGACGACAAAGACGTTTCTCTTGGGCCCCTGGGGGTTAACTTTTTCTTCAAAAATCGATCTGATGGGATGCTGGAAAAACATCTCATTACTGTGTATGAGCACCAGTCAACTTCCAAAGAACTCTTAAGTTCTTTAACGTGCGCACTTTCAAATGCAACAGAGCACATGTACTTGCATTTAATCACTGCTTCTTTAGTCCCAAAACAGTCTCAACTGCAGTTGACAGTACATATGACGTGTTTCTGATGCCTTATTAATCGTTGCACATGGGGTGTGATATTTCTGAGCAGCTGAGGCAGACTTAGGGGCATCATGACTGGGTCTCTCCCATCTGCCCAATTCCCAAATCAGTGTATGTACAAATCAAATTTGATTGGGAAAAAAAAATCTGAGAAATGCAAAATTCGGTTGTTGGTTCAGACTTCTAAAACACCTGTATTCTAAATGAATAAAGGAACTTACAATAAAATTCCCTTATACATAGCAGCAACCTCAGTTGAATGGATATTACTGGAAGGTTTATTTCAGCAATTCAACTCAAAAGTGAAACATTTATTACACACAGAGACATTCTTAAATAATTTATTTCTGTTCATTTTCATACAGCAAAGAAAGACACAATTCTGTTTCTTAGAAACTGTAAATAATATAGAGTTTTTGTTTTCTTAAAGGAACTGCTAAACTAAATTTACTTTTTGCTCATAATGTAATGCTTTTATTAGGACTTGTGAGTGTATCAACAACATTTATCAATAATTTTCTAAGACCGGCAAAGCCTGACTGTTAGTTATACCTACAAAACTACCAGCTGCAATACGGTGAACATTAGTTGTGGCCTTTCAAACACTTTCTATAACCTTTAACTGCATCTAAAGCAGTAACTATGAATGGCAGAAATTTTAAATACATGGGTCAACAGTAAAACAGGGTGCTTCAGCAGGTGTGCGAAAACTCTGCTCAGCAGCTATTTTAAATTTAAGGGGTGCCCTTCAGCTGCACAGTCAGCAACAAAAGAAAAACACATGGCCAAAAATATACTTGCAGCATTGTTCTCTTTTTGCTTCGACTCACTCTTAACGGAGGCATTAAAAGTTACAAGTTACTGAGAACACCTTCTTAAAGCACTGCAGGTGATGTATTGAGTTTCAATTTGTGAGGAAAAATTTGAAATGTGCCCTGTTAAAAGGGTGGTATTGTGTATTTACTGTAGCCACATTATATATCGAATTTCCCATCAAACTATTGTGCACCTGTTTTGTGTTTCAATAGCATAGAAATGGTGCCTTGGGGAATCAGTGCTCCTGCATCACCTTCCTATGGAATTTTAGCTAGCAGCTAAGCCAGGATGCAAAGGATGTTTTTGACATGACAGAGTGTCACAATGAAATGTATAGAACCACTGCGACTAAACTTACACAAGTGACTCCAAATGTGTTAGTAATGACCCAATAATGATATTGGTTAATGTTATGCTACACAAAAGCTTTGTCCGCATTGCTGAATACTCGCTTATCTCACCATGTCAAATACAATATGACCTCCTTTCTAATTAATTCAGCAACTTCATCACTTGAAGGGACTCAGACTGTGTGGGGAACAGTGAACTTTTGGCACACAAGTATGGAAAAAAGAATGAGACGGTGACATCATGGCAAAAGTAATTTATCTTCCCCTGATGGAGTAAAACACTGAGATCACCCCTCATTTCAATATGAATGCTCTATGCAAAACGAGGGTTTCATCAAAGGGACAGACAGACTTCATAGCCCAACTGGATGGAAAAGTTTAGCTTAAAAAAAGACTTACTTTCCTTACTTTAGGCCCACAAAAATGTGATTTTAGACATGGCGACATACATGGCAAGATAGGAAAGAGGGGAAAAGCTGCTTCAGACTGAAAGATGTTTTGGCCCAAATATCTATGCTCCTTTAACAGGAAAACTACTAGCTTATTTAAGAATATTCCTGTGTTTTAAAGTACTCATCAACAATCACAATATGTGTCAAAATATACCCCTCCAGAAAAGCAAAGCAAGTATTTTCCCTTACTTCCCACACAGACAAGGTAAAATAGGTCATTTAATAATCTGATTATGTAAATTCAGCACATTTGCTTATTAATAAGAGGAAGTTATCTCTGGACCGTAGACCATGTCCTAATAACTGGTCGTTGACACAGATCCGTGACCAGACAATTATATTGGATTATCCGAAACCAGAGATGATTTAAAAAACAAAACAAAACAAAACAAAACAACAATTGCTAGGTTGAGCAAAATGTGCCATTTGCTAGCTGTAAACGGATATTTTTAAGGTAAATTCAGTCATCTTAGCCATCTGAACACTCATTACAGTCTTCAAACTTCAGGAAATGTTGTGACAGAAATCTGCCCATATGGTGAGTGGAAGCTGAATCATACTGAGATCAAGGGGAGCCAGTGGTGAGAGGACAGATTGTGGTGCAGAACAGTAAATGTCAGGGGATGCAGTCGTGTCAGTGGTGTCCGAACTCCTCAGCAGCTTTGAGATACTTAAGCTGCCAATACAAAATATTCGGTATGAGATATGAGTCAATAAGGTATTTGTCAATAGGTTGCAATGCAGAGAAATCATCAAAAGAACAAACTGGCAAAGCACAGACTAAGAGACTGTTTAACTCAAGTGGCTCTGCAAAAAGAATTTACAAGTGGGATCTTGAGCAGCGGAAAGTTTTAAAATTTCACTCACACTCAGTCAAACTATTTTGGATCACTTCAACTCCTCATTACTCGGATACAGTCATAATCAGAGGTGCTTATTCAACTAAAAGCTAAATTTAGCACAAGCTACGATTCCTGTTCATGACCTTAACTACTTAAGACAAGCCTGATGTACTTTTCTCTGACCCAAAAAATGAACATGAAGGAGGGGCTAAGCGCGAACTCGTGGTGAAAATCATCAACGATGCTGAGCCACCAGCAGACACTGCATTAGATGACGGCTGTTTAGACTGCACTGCAGTCTGCCTTTGCAGGGTGGACTGTATGTGTGCTGCTGGTTGTAGTCAGGCAGAACAAGAGTCTGTAGTCAGAACTGCTCGGAAAAAGCCTGGCAGGCATGCAACGCTGTGACAGCTAGTATCGCTGTTAGCAGCACAAACATTTAATCTATTGACATTAAGTTGGACAACGGCACTGTGTCCTTTTCTGAATGTAAGCATAAGAATTCATGGTGACAAACAAAAGGCTTCATATAATAAAGCTGTGTACAGTGAAGAATCAGCACAAGACTTTTTTTTTTTAGCTAAGCATTCCTTAGTATTGTCTTCATTGAATAATACTTTGTAGAAAGGAAAAGTAATTATATTGTGTAACATCCTCATTACCTTTAAAACATAGAAAGGTTACTACTTCAAGTCATTTTTTCTCAAAGAAGATGGAAAGACGGACCATCTTTAAAATTTTTATTTCGTTTGTGGCATTCAGACAGACGAACATAAAGCGCCCCATCCATTGACAAGCTCTGCACTTTCTTTGTTCTCCTTCCACAATCACACTTCCTAGCCTTTCCCAGCTTGATTTTATGCTCGCACATCCATTTTATATATATATATATATATTTAGGAACAGGCCCTAAACACCAGAGCAATAGAGGCTCAGATCTACCACACCAGACAAGACCCAAGGTGTAGGTTGTGCAAGGAGGCCTCTGAGACAGTCCAGCACATAACAGCAGGGTGCAAGATGCTGGCAGGGAAAGCATACATGGAACCAAGTGGCGGGCATAGTGTACAGGAACATCTGTGCAGAATATGGACTGGAAGCCCGGAGATCGAAGTGGGGAACACCCCCAAAGGTGGTGGAGAATGACCGAGCTAAGATCCTGTGGGACTTCCAGATCCAGACAGACAAGATGTTAATGGCAAACCAAACGGACATTGTGGTGGTGGATAAAGAACAGAGGAAAGCCGTTGTGGTGGATGTAGCAATACCAAGTGACCACAACATCAGGAAAAAGGAGCAACTGGAGAAATACCAGTGACTCAGAGAGGAACTGGAGAAGGCCTGGAAGGTGAAGACCACAGTGGTGCCTGTGGTCATCGGGGCCCTCGGGGCAGTCACCCCCAAGCTGGAGCAGTGGCTCAAACAGATCCCAGGAACAACATCAGACATCTCAGTCCAGAAATGTGCAGTTCTAGGCACAGCCAAGATACTGGAGGAACCCTCAAGCTCCCAGGCCTCTGGTAGAGGACCCGAGCTCAGAGGATGAAAGAGACCACCCACGGAGGGTGAGAGGGGAATTTTATATATATATATATATATATATATATAAACACACACACAGACACGGGCATCAGTGTCCCCTAGAGGTCCACTGTCCAACACAGGCCTCTTTCATACTGTAGTCAGGCAAACAGCT